CCAAGGTCAGCTTGGAAATCTTTACGTGAGCCTCGGGAAACACTGCAGGTCTGTGTGAGGTCGGCCCAGAAAGATTCCCTTTAGAAAAACACTGGGTCAGCAAAAGTGGGTTGCTTTAAAGAGCCGAATTTAAGTATTCCTCTTAAAGAGCGGAATCGGGGGCCGGTGTGTGCAAGTCACAAGCCCTCCTTGTGCTGTTCTGCAAGGTGTCAGTGGCGTCAAGAGCCTGGGGCAACCCTGTGGAATGAATGGGTATCGGAACACCGCAAAGATCCTCGTGCACTGGGGCTGGGAAGCCTGTCTGGTCTAGCTGATCACAAGACTCTCCTTTCCAGCCTGCCTGCCAGCAGCTGTGTCACAGGGTTGGTGACTCAGGCCAACCCCAAACCACTATGAACCCAAACAGCCTCCCCATCCCACGTCTGACGGGGTGTCTGAGTTCCACGAGGTTTTCAGCAGGAGGCAGACGGGCATCCACCAGGGTGCACATGGCACAATCAGCACACAGGGTGTCTCTGGGCACCACATCTCTGGGGTCCCCAAAAACATACAGGGGAACTGGGTCCTGTCCATGCCTATAGTGCGGTGTGGGCCATCAGATGGCCTGGAGCTCTAGCCAGGTTGGGCTTTTTGGTTGTGCTCAGTGCTGGGGAATCACAAGACAGAGTTGCCAGGTGAGCATCTTCCCAGGCAACAGGGGTAAGAGACCCAGTAAAGCCAAGAAGGAGAGCAGCCGCTGCAGTGCTCAGGACACCGGACATGCCGGGGGGGGGGGGGGCGCATTGGGGGCCCCAGGAGAACTCAGAACAGAGGCAGGCATGTAATTGCAAAGGCACTGATTTGAGACATCCGTCTGGAATGAGAAGATTTTACTATAGCAGAAACAGGGGGCCCTGCAGAGCTGTCAAGAAAGTGGGGTCACGGACAGTGCAGAGGCCTTAAGGGAACCAGCAGCCGCACTGGACACTGGAGCTGGGTAGCTGCTGTTGTCCCCTGTAGACAGCAGGAGCCCCGGAGACTGTGCTTGCCCAGATGTGAGGAGGTGGTGGAATCAGTCCCTGTGCCATGGAGATGATCCTCAGCTGGCATGGTGGAGACAGAGGGGGCTCACCCTTCCGCTCCAGTTCCTGACCTCGCCGCAACCATGTGACCCCCGCCTCAGATTTCTTTGTCCTATCCCTGCCCTGGCTGCTCACTTCCCCTGCCATCTATGGCTGGTCACCCTCAAGTGGCAGCCCTGCAGGAAGGTCAGTCCTGACTACAGGACTGACCTGTAGTCAGCTGTTGCAGTCCTGTGCTTCTTGAGCGGCTCAGATTTGGTTTCCTGGAAACAGGCGGCTCAGTTCCGGTCCCCACTGCTGAGCACAGACCTGGTTGCTAGACTCTGGTGCTTGGTGCTGCTCTCAAGGTGACCCGGTGTGCCCTCCCAGGAGGATGTGGCACCCAGAGATGCCTCTGCCTCAGGCTGGAGCACTGGTCAGGACACACTCTGGAGGGGCATTGGGAATGGTTCTGATGTCTGCTGCTGTTCACCATAGGAGGGGGCAAGATTTGAAATCCCTGCCGGGCCACTCCTGGGTATGGCATGGCAGGACCCTGTGATATGTACAGGCCTGTTGGGCCCAGACTTGGTGGCAGATTTCCGTGGCTTTACCTTCACTGTGAGAGGCAGCTGGATGTTCACCCCGTGGTGGTCAGAGTGGCTCCTTAAGCCCCATAGAAATCAGATGTTCCCAGAACACCCTGTATCATGGCGGTAGACAATGGACAGTGTGGTAAGGTTCCTTCCACAGAGGCCAGTGCCAGAAGTCACAGGAGCCCCTCAAAACTCACCCTTTAGTTAGGCAGCAGGAAATCTGGGGAAGCCGTGATGCTCCAGAAATCACAGCCAGATGTGAGCATTCAGTGTAGGGCGAGGGGCACCTGACCAAGAGCAGCATTTCCAGGCTGTGGTTCCTCACCCCACAGCACCAGCTCCTGCTCTGAGTGGGTTTGCAGTTCTGCTGCTCCTCTGGGCAGCACACTGGCAGGGCCCACCCCCGAGGGAGGGCCATCTTGGACCCGGCAGAGTGGCACTTTGGCACCTGCTGAGGAGCATTGTAGGAGCCTGGTTTGCCACCAAAATCTGCCAGTCATTCTGCCACATCCTGTGCATGCTGTGCATGCAGGGCCAGGCAGCCACCTGGGTGACCTGTGTGTTCCTAGGTGCCAAGCAGAGAGGATTCCTGAGCTCGGCCTGCTGGGCATAATCTGGCCCATGAAGTTGACCCCAGAGATCCCAGATCCACCACCCTATTCCTTTGTATTTTGTGGCATCCGTTCCTTTGTATCTGAGAGCCCTGTAGGCACAGGTCCATCTCAACCCAGCAGAAAAAAGCAGGCTGAATGATTACATTCCAAGAGGAAATAGGACAAGAGGTAAAGTGTGTGTCTGGTGTCAATAAGAAAGGGGAGGAGACCGGTGAGGAGCATCCTTGGAGCCGGAAACCCAAATAAGTGGGAAATGAGTCCATAAATATGCAGGCAGGGTTTCACAGACTGACAGAGACCACATGTGTAAAGGGTCTGTGGCAGGAAGGGCTCCACACTGAGAGGAGTTGGTACAGAGAAGGAGAAACTGGCAGGAAATGGGATCCAAGAGATGACGAGAGCTGGTAGCACTAAGCCTGGAGGCCTTGTAAACACACCTGAGAGCTCCAAAGTCTTGGGGTTTAAATAGAGGCCTGGAAGCGTCTGGCTGCTGATTGTGGGGTGGACTGCGCAGTGCAGGGCTGGACAGTGGCGGGCTGTAGGGAGGCGCTGATTACTGTAATTGAGCTGCGATGCTGGCAGTGTTCAGGTGCTGGAAGGGTCAGGCGGAGGGTAAGCTGCTCAGGGCGGTGTGCACACACACACCTGCATTTATGTGTGCACATGTGCGTGCCTGGCTCTTCAGCTGGTTGACTGAACAGAAATGGGGGGCTGGGCGCAGAGGTCAAGGTAAGCCTGGGTGCTGGATTTGGACCCAGGAAGTCCAAGGGGCCCCTTTAGCACTGCAGCACAGCTCTTGGTGCAGCCAAGGGTCCAAATCAGGGGTTCAGAGGTCGTTCATCCCTCAGCGGGAACCTGGCCAAGTCCACCTGTGCTGTCAGAGATGCAGGGTGCCTGAGCACAGGGTTTGTGGCCCCTGAGCTACAACCCACTCATTACTCACACAAGGCTGGGAAGGCAGCTAATTATGGGTTTGCTCCCACTGCACCCCTGGTTTTTAAACTTAGCTAATTGTGGCCATCCGGGGCACACAGGCAAATACAGAAGACAGCACAGTGAACCTTCAGGAACTCTGTGAAATGGATCAGCCAACATTCCTTCTCTAATAAAGCAAGGCACAGTCGAGGGTGTGGTGCCTGGCAACTCGAACCAGAGGCCCCCGGGTGATGGCTCTGCAAGTCCCTGCCAGCTCCTCAATTACATCACATCGCGTGAATTTTGAAATCCAGAGCCCAGGGAGCATCGGGGAGAAACCTGAGGTTCCTGGAAGCACAGGAGTGCAGACTCGCCTGGCTGGGGAGGTTGGATTTAGTGTTTGACCAGGGCTGGGTGTGATGGTGCCAGGAACAAGGCGGTGCCGGTGAATCCAGGTGTGGTGCTGTGGAGGGAGCGCCTGGCCAGGGAGGAGCAGCGGCGTGGTTCTCAGCAGGAGAGTGGTGAGACTTCAGAGGGCTCTCCTAGAGAAATGAGGACCCATGAAGGCTGGACAGCAGGAGAGTCAGTGACAGTGAGCTCCAGGTCTGCTCAGCAAGGCGGGCAGCAGAGCCTGTGTAGAATGGCTCAGGGCAGCGTCTCTGCCCTCCTCTGTACAGGCTTCACTCAGCTGTGGCTGTCTCCTGCATGAGCTGGGCTGTGTCAACCCCCAGTGCGCTATGAGCCCTGACCAGCAGGTGTGCAGCATGCCACACTGGTCTATAGAGCCAGGGCAGGGCTGCCCCATCACCAGGCAGAGTGAGGCAGTGCTCTGGGGCGCTGCCAGGCACCTGCGATTGCACCCATCTGGGCTTGTTTAACCACTTATCCTGCCCTGGAGCCAGAATCCTGTGAAGATTAAGGAAAGGGGTGGAAGAGGGGCCAGTTCTGCTCCAGTGGGGAGACACAGAGCACCCCGGAGGAAGATCACGCCTGGCAGTGAGCAGCACTGCCCTCTCGTATCCTCAGGAGTGTGGTCTTCTGGGTCTTGAGATCAAAGCAAGGTCCAGAGCTGGGATGGAGCTCTGGCTCCGTGGTAGCAGCACCCAGGGTTCATCACTGCCGACCTAGCAGCGCCTCCCAAGCACCTCCCTGGGCTTGTCACACTTATTCTTCACATTCCCATGAGCCCAGTGGCACTTGCCTTGCGCTATGGGCCAGCTGATCTGCGGCTGCCTGTCTCTGTTGGACAGCATGGGAAATTTACCACTTTGAAATCAGCTCTCAACTTCCTGTTTCCAGTTCACAGGCCCCAACAAGGGTCTTCTCCCTCCAAACCAATGATCTCCCATAGAATCCACTGGTCCAGTAACAGTACCAGGGTTCAGCGCACCCTGGGGTCAGCACTTGGCCAGTTCTCCCTAAGCCACATCGCAAACACCTGGCCGCCACCATGTGGTGCACTAATGAGGGAGATTCCTGGAGCGTGTGGTCAGGGAACGTCCCTCCAGCAGCTCTGCTGCTCTGGCTTCATGTCCCTGGGAGCTGGTGACATGGACTACGCGGCCCTGTGTTGTCCCCTCACTGGCAGCCATCGATGGGCTGCCAGGAGTTGGAACACAGTCCATGGACCCCACTGTGCCCAGGATGAGCAGCTGTGTGTGCTGCAGGCCAGGACAGAGCCCAGGGGGCTAGCAGGGTACAGCTGGCGACTGCACTGTGCTCCTGGGCAAGAGGAGCAAACAAAACACCTGGTGAAAGATGGACCCCTCCTTCTGTAAAGGCTCTGGAAGTCACGCTTAGAGGGTGTTCTCCTTCTCCCTCTCTCTCATTTTTAGGAGGAAGCACGGTGGAGGAGGAGGAGGCATGAGACCTTAGCGCCCAGGCAGGCAGGCGGTCTAGGATGGCGGCCCAGCGGATCCGGGCAGCCAACTCCAGCGGCCTCCCCCGATGCAAGTCGGAGGGAACCCTGATCGACCTGAGCGAGGGGTTTTCAGAGACGAGCTTTAATGATGTCAAAGGTGAGTGGCTCCTAGCAGACTCTGGCTGAGTGGGGAGGTTGGTATCAACGGTCCTGTCTGTTTCACCATGCACCAGCGTCACATTCAGACCATGGCACCTGGGCTCCCTAAGGCTCCTTGTGATATAAATTCAGCCCCGGAGCCATAGCCCTCTGTCTCAGGTGCTGCTGTTTGCAGAGAAGGTTTGAATGCTCCCCTCAGTAATGAAGCCAAACCTGTGAGCAATCTGTATTTTCTCTTGAAGTGTCCTGGTGACAGCATCTTAGTCATTTTCCTCCTCACTGGAGCTCAATACCTGACGCCCACAGTTTAATGGAAGAGAGGTTTATTTTGGCTCCTAGTCTGTAGACATTTCAGTCCACAGTGGACTGTCCCTGCGGTGGGATGGTGCAGCGGCCTAGCAGAGAAGAGCCACTCAGGATATAGTGGACAGGAAGCAGGGGTAGGGAGGAGCCAGGAGGTAGAAACCCTTCTAGGCCACGCCCTCTCCAGACCACGCCCACTGTGCCCCATCTCTTTCAGCAGGCCCCGCCTCCTAACAGCCAGCCCAATATGGTGCCTGCATAATCCCAGTGAAAGCCCCCACCTAGGAGCACATCTAGAAATACACCATAACGGACCGTAAGGGAGGGAGCACTGTGGTAAAGAAACCTCAGATAGGAGGGGGTGAAGATCTCCTGAGTTAAAGCACAGCTTGGCAGTAGAGACTTTACCTTCGTGTCCTTAGCCTTTGGCATGAACTCAGTATGAAATAAATGTTTCTGGAATGAAACTGCAGTTCCCCAGATAAACTCGTGGGCCTCTGCCCTGTCCGCGTAGCATGTATACATCTTTCTCATTGATTAGTTGCTCCTTCCCTCTGTATCCTGGCATCTTCCCCTTCCTGTTCCTGGCTGAGCGTCACTTTAAGAGACCAGCAGAAAGAACCGTGGGTTTCCTCAGATAGCAACCGAGATATAAATACCACTTAGATGTCTGCTATATATATAGATATCTGCTATAAATACCAGAACTGTTTCTTTTTTATAGTCTGGTCATGGGCGACTTTTTCTTTACCCAGTGAGTCAGAGACAGTGAGCATGAATTGTGTGGTGTGGGCCAGGGTCCTCAAATGATGAGCAGGGAGCTGGATTTTACAAAGTAATTGTAATGATCAGAGGACGGTGAGGAGGGTTGGCGTGCTGGTGGAGTGGGTGTCTGGGTCTCTGAGGCCCCCACAAGGCAAGGGACCTCAGGATAGGCCTAACCTTTGGACTCCGATGCTAAGGTCCAGCAAGTGACCAGGCATCCTGGAACAGACTTCAAGGCGAGAACATCTCCCAGCCAGAATCCCTGCCAAGTGGTCTTCTACCCCTGAATGATTTGCTTGCATGAAATTGAGGCAGAGAAGCAGAAAATACATTATTGAGTGCACTTAGCTTGCTAATACCCAGGGAGTTGTTTGTGTTAAAATCAAGGTAGCTGAGGATATGGGCAGTGCTCCCCTGAGTTCATTAAGCTGAAATTTGGTTCCCAGGCAGTGCCTGGCAGAGGATGTGGTCACACCACAGGCCACCTCCATGAGGTCCCTGGGGCAAAGAGGGCCTTTACCCTCCAACAAGCCCGACCTTGAGTGGCGAAACACAGGCCCACTTCTCTTCGAAAGAGAGCACTTGGAATTTTAAATGAAACCATTCTTCCTCTTCAGCCCGGTGAAGCTGAAATGATAATTTGCATGGATACATTTTAGGCTATGCGCAAGGCATGCTTAATTGCTTTGAGTTTTTACATTTCGAAGATAGTACTATAAGGAAATTAATTATTCTGGGGTAGCATAATAGGGATATAACTTTGGAGAAATTCTAACAAGATTTTAATGGCTGACAAGCTTATTTAATTCTCACTTGAATTTTAGTTTCTGTTTCCGTGAACGTGTCAAGGGAACAAAGCAGGTTCAGAGACCGTGACCAGCCACAGGCGTGGAAGGGAAGGACCACTTCACCTGGCCCAGTTCCCTTTCCCTGCTTCTCCCTCAAATCTCTTCTTGGACTCGGGAAGCAGCACCCCAGAATGAAAGCCCCTCCAACCCTTTCCTGCCCACGGCCCCATCTCTTGCCCCTTGAGTCATAGAAACTAGAAATCTGATTCCCAGAGTGGTCAGAGAGACCAGAGCTGCTTTTCCCAAGGCTGGCCCTGAGCCCCCACACCCCACTCTAACCTTATCCAAGGTCCTGGTTCAGACAGCTGCACCCCATGCAGGTGGAGAGAGGTGGTGCCTACAGCCAGGGTCCCAGAATACCCCGGGGAAGCAGCCTCCCTGGGCTCCCCCTTGGTTCCCTGGGCTCGAACCTTCTCTTCTGGCCTCCTTTCTGCGTGGCTGTCCTTACTCATCGAACCCAAGCACAAGGATGGTTGTTTACCACAAGCCTTCATTTAGATCTTGGATCTGAGGGCTTTGAGCCGGGAAGCTGTGGTTAGCGAATCCATTAGTTGTGCCTTTCTCTGGCTGATGCGTTTGTTGCCTGTTGATTTCAGCCGACTCCAGAAGCAGAGTTTGAGAGGGAAAAGTCTGGGGCCACCCACGCTGTCCCCTCCCCTCCATGATAGATTGGTCCCTGCTGCAGTTCTGTAGCCCAAGTGCTTAGTGTGGGGAATTCAGCCTCTGGGAACTGTGTAGTGGGCATGGAACCTGCCCATGCATTCCACACACCAGGAGCCCGAGTGTCCCCTGCCTGGGCACAGACACAAGCAAAGTAGGCTCTTTGGAGCTCATGAGGAGGAAGAGAAGGAAAGCTGCCTTTGTCCCCTACCCTGCTTGGCTGGGCCTCTGTGAGTAACCAGGACAGGTCAGCAGCTTAGCTAGCAGGTGTCCCGCTTGTCAGGGCGTCTTCATAAAGGATGTGAAGAGCCAAATTCAAGGATAACCTGGGTGTTCAGGGCAGTGTGCAGAGCGGGGACTGCCCACTCTTCCAGGAGTGACCTCACCCCTGTCCCTGTGTGTCTTTCACAGTGCCTTCTCCCAGTGCCTTGCTCACGGACAACCCCACACCTTTCGGCAATGCCAAGGAGGTGATCGCCATCAAGGACTACTGCCCCACCAACTTCACCACCCTGAAGTTCTCCAAGGGTGACCATCTGTATGTGCTGGACGCCTCTGGCGGTGAGTGGTGGTACGCTCACAACACCACCGAGATGGGCTACATCCCCTCGTCCTACGTGCAGCCCTTGAACTACCGGAACTCCACCCTGAGCGACAGCGGCATGATCGACAATCTTCCTGACAGTCCGGACGAGGTGGCCAAGGAGCTGGATCTGCTTGGGGGATGGACGGACGACCAGAAGGAATCAGGCAAAGCCTACAGTAATAACCCCTTCTGGAGCGGGGTCCAGACGAACCCGTTTCTGAATGGGAACGTGCCAGTGGGGGCCGGCTTGGATGAGCTGAACCCCAGAAGTACTGTGGATCTGTTGCTTTTCGATACTGGCACCTCCTCATTCACAGAATCCAGCTCAGCCACCACCAACAGCACCGGCAATATCTTTGATGAACTCCCAGCCACAAACGGACTCCACGGGGAGCTGCCCGTCAGGCGGGACAACCCTTTCTTCAGAAGCAAGCGTTCCTACAGCCTGTCAGAGCTCTCCGTCCTGCAGGCCAAGTCAGACACTCCTGCCACATCGAGTTTCTTTACAGGCTTGAAATCACCTGCCCCTGAGCAATTTCAGAGCCGGGAGGATTTTCGAACTGCGTGGTTAAACCACCGGAAGTTGGCCCGGTCTTGCCACGACTTGGACCTGCTGGGCCAGAGCCCTGGGTGGGGCCAGACTCAGGCTGTGGAGACGAACATCGTGTGCAAGCTGGACAGCTCTGGGGGCGCCGTGCAGCTGCCAGACACCAACATCAGCATCCACGTGCCCGAAGGCCATGTGGCCCCCGGGGAGACGCAACAGATCTCCATGAAGGCCCTTCTGGATCCCCCACTGGAGCTCAACAGTGACAAGTCCAGCAGCATCAGCCCCGTGCTGGAGGTCAAGCTCAGCAACCTGGAGGTGAACACCTTCCTCATCCTGGAGATGAAGGTGTCTGCCGAGGTCAAAAGCGACGTCTTCAGCAGAAGCACCGTGGGCCTCCAGTGCCTGAGGAGCGATGTGAAGGAGGGGCCCTACGTGCCCATCCCCCTCAGCTACAGCTATGGGGACACGGTCCAGGTGCAGCTGGACAGCTTAGAGCCCTGCATGTACCTGGCTGTCGTGGCCCACGGCCCCAGTATCATCTACCCCTCCACCGTGTGGGACTTCATCAATAAGAAGGTCACCGTGGGCCTGTATGGTCCCAAACACATCCACCCGTCCTTTAAGACAGTGGTGACCATCTTTGGGCACGACTGTGCTCCCAAGACCCTGCTGGTCAGTGAAGTCACCCGGCAGGCCCCCAGCCCTGCCCCCGTGGCGCTGCAGCTATGGGGGAAACACCAGTTCATCCTGGCCCGGCCCCAGGACCTCAAAGTCTGTATGTTTTCCAACATGACCAACTACGAGGTCAAGGCCAGCGAGCAGGCCAAAGTGGTGAGAGGCTTCCAGATGAAGCTGGGCAAGGTGAGCCGCCTCATCTTCCCCATCGCCTCGCAGAACCCCAGTGAGCTGTCTGACTTCACATTGAGGGTGCAGCTCAAAGACGAGCAGGAAGCCATCCTGACCCAATTCTGCGTGCAGACGCCGCAGCCGCCCCCCAAAAGTGCCATCAAGCCATCGGGGCAGAGGCGGTTTCTTAAAAAGAATGAGGTGGGCAAGATCATCCTGTCCCCCTTCGCCACCACCACCACCAGGTACCCCACCTTTCAGGACCGCCCCGTGTCCAGCCTCAAGTTCGGCAAGCTGCTGAAGACGGTGGTACGGCAGAACAAGAACCAATACCTGCTGGAGTACAAGAAGGGCGACGTGGTGGCCCTGCTCAGCGAGGAGCGGATCCGGCTGCGGGGCCAGCTGTGGACCAAGGAGTGGTACATCGGCTACTGCCAGGGCAAGGTGGGCCTGGTGCATGCCAAGAATGTGCTGGTGGTCGGCAAGGCCCGGCCCAACCTGTGCCCAGGGCCCGAGCTGAGCACATCGGTGCTGCTGGAGCAGATGCTGCGGCCCTGCAAGTTCCTCACCTACATCTACGCCTCGGTGCGCACACTGCTCATGGAGAACGTGAGCAGCTGGCGTGCCTTTGCCGACGCCCTGGGCTACGGCGGCCTGCCGCTCACCTCCTTCTGCCGGGCTGAGCTGGACAGCGAGCCCGAGCGGGTGGCGTCCGTCCTGGAGAAACTGAAGGAAGACTGCAACAACCCCGACCACAAGGACCGCAAGTCCTTCCAGAAGGAGCTGGTGATGGTGAGTTTGGGTAGGAGTCCCTGACTGGTGGGCGTCCGGCCGCCAGGGTGGGTTGGGGCCGAGGTTCTGCTGCCTGGCATTCTGGTGGTCGGTTGGTCAGGGCTGGAAGCTCACCCTGGGAGGGAGGTGGCATGTATGACTCTCTGGGACCCAAGGAGAGGTACACTTGGGTCTCTCTTCCTGCTGCTTCGGGGAGTCCTTTGGCTGTCTCTGTTGTCCCCACCTGCCTGGCTTTATGGGAAGCAGATTTGTGTTTGATCAGATGCCCAGCTGGCCCTGCGGTTCCAAAGGGCAGGAAGCTTTGCCCAGAGTTGCACCTGACTTGACCGTGAGGCCTCTGGCAAGTCTCTGTGTGTGCCGTGCTACCCTCAGCCTCGTCCTGGCGTCTGGGCAATGACAGCCTTAGCAGGGGCAGCACCCCTGGGAACTGGAGTCCTAAGACGGGAGCAGGAAATCAGTGCTCCCTGCTGACCCCGTTCCCCTACCCCCGCACCCACTCTGCTGTCAGTGCCAGTGGGCACCTGGGGCCCTCTTTCTGTGGTAGAAGCAGGCGCAGCACGTCTCTCTGAAGGGGATCCTCTTGGCTCCCATGGGAAGCTCTTGTGATGAGGCTGCACTCCTCCTCCTGACCCAGCAGCCTTGATCACAAAAGGGGCTGCTGTCCTGGCTGCCATGTGAGTCCCTGTCCAAGTGGATGAGCAGTGACCAAAGAGTACAGTGAATCTTTTCATTTGAAAACCTCGTTACAGTAAGAGACACATTGTCATGCATCCCTCTCAAACACCCTCATCCCATCGTTCTTGCCACTGTCCAAAGCAGCTCTGGAGCCTCTTTCATAAGGACTTGCCTTGATGTCCTGGATCAATTCAGAACATTGACATTTCATGGTCCTTTGGACTCTGGGGAAGAGCCAGAATTTGTGTGGTGCCAGATCCGGTGAGTAAGTCCGGTGAGGACACACTGATGTTGTGAGCACTCTTTCTGCTAGGTGGTGCTAGGGAGCAGCATTCACTGCATTTTTGATCACACCTCATAAAAACACTCAGGAAAGAGCGCGTCCAGAACTGCTTCAGAAGGTGGCAAGAATGCTAGGATGGGCGTGTTTGTAGCTAGAGTGGGTGTTCTGAGGGCGAATCATGACAGTGTCTTTCTGTAGTACATATCTTTATTTCAAATGTTCACTGTGCATTCTGATTATACTGCTGAGGCCCACACTCTGAGCACACCTGCCTGTGCCCTGTGCCTAGCCGTGTGCCACCCCAAACAGGGCCCTGTGGCATGGTCTCTGCAGATAGCATGTGTTCCAGCCCGGTGGAGAGCAGGACAGGACCAGGGGTGGCTGTGGAAACACAAAACCCAGGAGCTTGAAGCCAGCAGATCTCAGGTTGCCCAGAGTGGCGGTGATGGGACCGGATGTGACTCTGGAAGGGTGGCCAGGGATTGGGGACTGAACAGCGGCAGCTCCTTATGATGCGGGTCCCTTGGCCATCATCATCTGCATGCAGTTCAGAGCGCAGCCCTACCCCAGCCCACCTGCAGGACAGATTCTAGAAGCTTGTGCCAAACCTGCGCCGGTCTCTGCCACCCGCGCGGGCTTCCCTATGGGCCCTGGCTGGTGTCCTCACTCTCCATCGATTGCTGGATTAGGAGTTTTCACGGAACATAAACAGTATTGATTGTTCCTTCTCCAAGGCTGAAAAGCACTCACCTTGAGCGGGCCGAGGTGAGAGGCATGGCCGCCCGGCTCCCTCTGCTGGGCAGCAGGGATGTGGGAGGTGGTCTTTGCAGGCCTTTTCTCCTGATCCATTTTTAAGTGATTGAAGTGTTCCCTCCACTCCGTTCCTCAGAGAGAATTTCTCTATTTCCTTGGGGGCCTGAGCTCCAAGGACGGCTCCTGTGAACGCTCCTGGCCTCCTCTGCCCCATGGAGGAGGAAATGAAACTGGCCTGGAACTGGGCCCTGAGGCAGGTTTGGTGCTATTCTGCCCTAGGAAAGCAAAACTGGTTCTGCAGTCCAGAGGCCCCTCAAGAAACCTGCTAGGAGAGGCAGGTTTAACCTCCCGCCTGAACCCGCTGACTGCCCAGCCTTGGCCTGGCCATGTGTGCTTTTCCAGGAACTGTGGTTGCTGGGCAGCCAGGTATCCTGCAGCCTCCACCACGACTCCTCTGCCCCTTGGGAAGTGGGGGCAGCCGCGATGAGGTGTTGCTGCCACAAAGCCCTACTTGATGAGCCAGGAGGGGGGAGGTTGGGGACAGGTACCACAGGAAGGTGTCAGGAGTGTCGCCCAGCCCTGGGCTGGCCCTCTCTTCACAGCCGTCAGCCTCCTTCCCTGGCCCTTATGCCCCATGAAGTCCGCCCCCACCTCACTGCTGGGGACATCCCTGCCTCAGCCTCCACAGGCACTGTTCGTTTCTGCCTGGGAGCTGCTACTACTGGCCTGGTGTCCTCATCCCCGTGTCTCCTCCCCAGAGGCCTCTCCTGTGGTCTTCAATGCCCCAGCCCAGGGCCCTGGTTACTCTGCTCAGTGTCTCCTGGGTCTGCTCTTCCCATGTGCTGTGTCCTGTGCGCTCCCAGGAGACCCATTGAGTGGGGAACACTGCAGAGCCAGCTCCAAGGGAGTGGGCACCTGAAGGTCCAGACCTGGGCTCTGCACTAGGGTCTGAGTGACCCTTGGTCCCTCCATGACTCCGTTTTGTTTCTGTCCCTGCCTGTACTCTTTTTGGCGCCTGTTTTAACACCCAAAGGAAGCTGTGTGAGGTGAGGCCTGTGCCTGCTCTTCTCACCACAGTTCCTGTCCTCAAGAGGGGGCTGGATAACCCTGAAAGCTCTGGGAGCTGAGGAGAGGACGCAGAGGGGCTGCAGGGCAAGGCTGGGGGTGTCTCCAGAGAGAAAACCACTCTTTTCTCGAAAGCCCTTGTACCCACAGTTACCTATTGGCTCTGCCTCAGCCAGGGCCCCTGGGTCCCTGCAGGAGGCCCCCAAGTGGGTGGTGCTGTTAGCTGTGCCCTTAGTCCCAGAGAGGAGGGCAGCGGGCAGCTAGGGTGTCAGGTGCAAGAGGACCCCAACATCCCGGATGAGAGTTGAGCAAACACCTGCAAGACCCAACCAGACCCGAGGTGCTGCCCTGGGATGTAAAAGGCGGGCTTCTGAGGCCTGCATCGTCCGTCCCTGCATCGTCAGCCTTGCCCATCTGCTCTCTGCAGCTGCTTTCAGGCTACCTCTGCAAGGTTGGGAAGTCACCCGAGGCCATGTGGCCCCCAGCACCGCCCGTGTTTGCAGTCTGTCCCTCAGGAATGAGGCTTGGTGGCCCTGACTTGTCATGACTGTCTTGGGAGAAGGAAGTCCCACCTGAGGTCAGCAGCGTGCTGTGTTGACTGGGAGTCTCCTGGAACACTGATGTGTACCCACATGTACCCATTGTGCACCAGAATTAAAGAGGCCGTGTGGTCCGTAAGGCAAGGGAATACAGGAAGCCCATGTTGGGCTACAGAGACCTGCAGGGAGGAGCCCCCGTATCAGAGTGCGGGGCGCCTTCGCTTCCAGGTCGAACATTCCAAGCTGTGTTCCTCCCTCTCAAGGGGAACCGTGGCTGCCTTGGTGCGGTCCTTCACATCCTTGCCCAGAGCCCCTAGGGAGAGAGGAGTTTCGATCACCTCGGCCAGGAGTGACTTGAATCAGAAGCAGGTGACACTGGCGTGTTCTGTTACCTGAAAAATAACACTGCCTTCAAGCCAGTGTTTGCTTGGTGCAGTTGACTGACCCGGGTCAAGCCCTGTGGTCACTCCACGTTCCTTCCTGGAGTGGAGGTGGCAGAGGGGACCCTGGAGCACCAAAGAGATTAAAACCCGGCACTGTACCCATGCACCCCACCTCTGCCCCACACGCATAAACCTGAGCGGAGAGGGCCATCTCACTTCCTGAGCACCAGCCTGGTCATTGTGTTTTCTTAAAACCGTGCCTTTTGAATACATCCACCTTCAGCTTGAAAGGAATAAAGCTTAACCCACCTGAGTGGTATTTGTTTGGCTTCCTACCTGGTGTCATGCAGTGCCTACAGCACGGGGAGGCCAGAGTGGCTTCCGCCCCTGCCGCTGCTGCCCCGGGCCCTGCACAGAGGCCAGCCTGGCTGGTGTGGAGCTCTGAGTCTCCCCTTAGCTTCACCCGTGAGGTGCGGTGGACTCAGCTGTGTGTCCAGGGCAGGACAGCAGTAGTAGGGGCCCCCAGCCCGGCACAACCTCCAGTAGCTGATTGCATCTGGAAGGGCCTGCACCTCTGCCTTAACTTCCCCCCAGAAGCTGGGCCCAGCCCTGCCCCGCTCATATGGTGCCTCTCCCTCCCCAGGCCTTGCTGAAGATGGACTGTCAGGGCCTGGTGGTCAGGCTCATCCAGGACTTCGTGCTGCTGACCACAGCCGTGGAGGTGGCGCAGCGCTGGAGGGAGCTGGCCGAGAAGCTGGCCAAGGTGTCCAAGCAGCAGATGGATGCATACGAGTCCCCCCACCGTGACCGGAACGGGGTGGTGGACAGTGAGGTGAGCAGTCCCTCGGCTCCCTGGCCCTTAGAGGGCTCTAATGAAAGGCATGCCCTGTGGAGAGAGGGTCAGGGAACACAGCCAGGCTCCTGCACTTGGAACCAGACGGAACCAGACAGGAACTGCCCTCCCTTGCTAATTCCCCATGACAACAGATAAGGCACAGTGAGTGCCCAGGGCTCCCAGCATGGCACTGGGTCAGGCCCTGGTCTGTGCTCTGACTCTGGGAAGAGCTGTCATGGGGAGCCTTCTTCAGCCCCACATTGTCCCCAAGGGCACTGCTGGAAGGTAGCTTGGGCTCCTGAGACCCAGGGAGCAGGAGCTACCAAGAGTAATGAGGGTGGCCTTTGATGAGTGATAATGGCGGGAATAGGCAGGGCTAGTCAAGGAGCAGGCGTCCTGGCTATGCAGTCACACACTGCATGCTTCCACAGACTTGTCTCTCTGTGTGTGTCTCTCTCGCTGTCTTTCTGTTTCTCTCTGTCTCTTTCTCTTTACTTTTCTGGTGGAACTGGAGGTTAAACCTGGAGCCTTCACACTGAGCCACATCCCCAGCCCTTTTTAAAATTTCAAGGGTTTCCCCAGGTTGCCCCAGCTGGACCTGACCCTGCCATCCTCCTGCCTCAGCCTCTCAGAGTGTGAGGATTATGGGCAAACACTGCCAAGCCCAGTTTGTTCCCGCTGAAAGCTTAGCCAAGGGCTCTAGACATCTTGCCCCACCTAATCTTTTAACACTCTGTTTCTGTACTTCACGGTTCCACCCCCCAGGCCATGTGGAAACCCGCCTATGACTTCTTACTCACCTGGAGCCACCAGGTTGGGGACAGCTACCGGGACGTCATCCAGGAGCTGCATCTGGGCTTGGACAGGATGAAGAGCCCCATCACCAAGCGCTGGAAGCACCTCACGGGCACGCTCATCCTCGTCAACTCGCTGGATGTCCTACGGGCAGCCGCCTTCAGCCCCATGGACCACGATGACTTTGTGATCTGAGCATGCGTCCGTCCCGCTGCACCCAGGACCCTGAGCCCTGGACCTGCACAAGCCCTGGCACCTGCGCTGGATTGGTCGACACCGTGTACCCTGGCCACCCTGGGGCCCAGGACCCAGGTTGTTCCACAATCCTGCCTGGGAGTTTCCTCTGCAGGTCATTGCCAATCAATAGCTTTCTATCTGTTGAAGTGTACATTTAAATTTCAGATCATTTTTAGAAAAAAAGAAAAAAGGAAAAAAAAAGGACTGGGGAGGGCCGAGTGAAAGGTGATCTCTCATTTTATAATGGACCATGAAGGTTAAGGAAAAAACAAACTTAGTAGGCAGATGCTGCTGAGTTTTTATGTTGTTTAAAGACCTTTTAAATTATGTGACGGGTGTATATAAGTATTTAAAGGCCGCAGGGCATTGCTGGCTCTTGACCACACCAGACAGCAGATGGCATGGGCAGGTTGATGCTCAGCGGCCGGGCACAGTCACGCGTGCCCTCCCCGAAGGTCCCTGGGCCCCCCTTATTTTTCTCACCTTCCTCCCTTTGCCTCCTGCTGTTTCCCTGGCCATCCACAGAACGCGGGAGCTGCGGTGAGATTTTGTGGGCAGCTAAACCCCAGCGGCAACACTAGGCACTTTGCCCTGTGTCCACCTCCCAATGAGACAGCGCCTGGGGCCATTACCTGTGCGGAGAGGGGAGCGGGTCCTACAGCGCTAGGCTGCCGTGGGTGCCCTCCTTGGCTGGGAGGGCGTGCCCAGCCATGTCCCCTACAAGGCAGAACAGAAGCCAACCTGCCTTTCTCTCACCCACACAGAGACTGTGACTGAGGTCATGTGCCCTGAGCCAGGGCTCGTTCTCAGACTCTGCATCCCATCTCCTCCGGGTCCACCCAGGCCTCCTTGGCAAGGAGCCGTGGCAGGGAGACCGCTTAAGTCTTCTGCTATCAAAAGTGTTGCCCATGTTACATCTGGAGCTCGGTTGCCTTGGTAACCTGTCCAGCAAGGGCTCACCTTGAATCTGCTGTGGATTCTGCAGTCGCACCATGGTTGTGACATCTGAGAAAGGCAGCCCGAGGCAGGACTGGTGACCATTGGATCGGCAGAGTGGGGCGACTCCAGTCATGAGCAGGACATGTGTTTGTCTGCAGGGGTGTGGGGGTCCCCAAATCTGGAGTTCTTAAACTGCTCCTTCGCAGCATGTTAATGAGCTAGGCGGGTCTGTGTGTGTGTGTGTGTGTGTGTGTGTGTGTGTGTGTGTGTGTGTGTGTGTATGAGCGAACCGTCGTTGGGCTGAAACATTGCCCTGTAGCTGCCAAGTCAGACATCGAAGACCAGACAACAACGAGCAAAACACTACACATCCTATGCTGCAAGAACCGAGTCCACGGTCCCCGTCATTACACAGGACCCCCAACTCTGCTTCTCCTCAGTTCTGCCCAGAGAGCCACCCTCCCCCTTTCCCCAAAGAAGAAACCAGTTGCACCTTAATTAAACCATGGATCTTTTTCCTCAGGGGCTTTGAAATAGTTTCCTATGCAACATGTCTTGTAGCACAAATTAAATTCTACAAAAGTTGCAGTAAATTTTATCAGGCTATTTTAACTTGTCTAGTGTGCGTGTGTTTTCCCTTCCCCAACCTGAAAGAAAACCTGGTGGAAACCTCTGTGTGGAGACAGGTGGCTCCTTCCCAGAAGCCGTCCTCTGGCACGGTGGGTGTGGCTGTCACTGCTCTGGGAAAACTTGGTCACAAGAAAGCAGGCTGGGCCGCCTTGTTCTTAGGCTCACATATCTGGACCTGGTGATCCCCAGTGACCAGATGAGGCTTAGGAACCCCAGGTGGTCTCTGTGTCCACAGTGTCTGAGGGACTGAGTGCAGCCAGCAGCAGAGCCCCTGCCCGGGGAATATGACTGCTGAGAGAGAAAAATGGGGATCATGCAGGGGCTGTTTCTGGGGACCAGCCCCAGCTGGAGGTAGTGGGGGAATGGGCTCGTGGAAAGCCCAGTTTCCACAAAGTGTCCTTCATCCGAGCTCCAGAGGGTGAGTAGGAAGCAGCGAGCCCAGTGACAGGTGTGTGCAGTGCTTCGAGGCTCCCTCCCCTAGTGTGAGCCTCACAAGCCGACTCCCTACTCTGAATTCTGCTGTCTCAGTTGGGTGGGGAGTGTGTTAAAGGCCTGGCCCCGGCTGGTGGCACTACAGGGAGCTGGGGGAACCTTTGAGAGTGAGGCCCAGTGGAAGGAAATTGGATCTTGGAGGTGAGAGGCTGGAGGGCACTGTGGGACACCATCCCTTCCCCTTTAGGGTCTCCTTTGCCACGTGGTCCTGCTGTGTTGGATTAAGTGGCCACAGGCCCCACTAGTCCTCAGCTGAAACCTACAAAATGAAGCCACCATAACCTTTTCCCTTTCTGAGTTACAAGCTGCTTGCCTCAGGTCCCTGCTGCAGTACCAGGAAGCGGACTGGCAGCAGCCTGCCCAGCACCCTCCCGCTCATACCCACGTTCATTTTACCACTGAGGACATGACTCTGGGGGTCTCAGCTTCACATAACTAATAGGGAAGGCAGGAATCTTAACCCAGGTGGCCTTACCAACTGGAGGTGGCCTAGAACACTAGAAATAAATGCCCTCGAGGTCCTGGAGGCCTCAAGATGTTATGTGTCCAGGGCTTTCTGTCCTTATAGGGGCATTGGTCATTGGATTCGCCCTGATCCAGCACAGACATCGTCTGAACTCGACTGCAAAGTGAAGGTCCTGTGTCTGCGTAAGGTCACCTGCACAGATAAAACTGTTTGGTCCATTAGGTCCTCGTCATATCTTCGGGCCCCAGTTAAACCACCCTACTGCCTGTCTTATTCCAGGAAGTTCAGCCAAAACGTACTGCCCCTTACTGATACCAAGTTTGATATTGATATGACTGATAATTAACACAGAACAAGATGGTGTTTGTTGGTGTGTTTTAGGACCACATATTTAGGAGAAAACATTCAGTTGAAAAAAATTTGTGCCCTAGTTTCCAGGCAAAAAAAGCTAATTTTGTCCCTGGTAAATTCTTGCTTTGATCGTCCATCAAAGCATTGTGCTCAGTCAGGAATTGTTTCCTATCCCCTCCGAGACACCTGCCTGCAGATGGCTGTCATGTGTCACCTGTGAACTCAAACTCAGGCTCTTATCTGGCTCTCCCAGATCCCAGCAGCTTCTGGGTCTCTTAGCCATCCACAGCACTATGACCAGAACTTTTCTTGACCCTTTATGTCACCCCCATTCATCCATCCTTTAATTCATTCATTCATTTTTGGCCACATGTTCCAACGCCCACTTCCTGTCCAGTTCCTTCTGTCTCTCCCTCCTTGGTCCATGGCATGCAGGATTCCTTCCTGTTCCTGCCCATCACCTACAGGTTGCACCCTGAGCTCCGATGACAGCAACTTTGTCTCACTCATCCCCCACACACCAGAGTCTGGTGCAGCCCATTTGTTGTGAAAGGACTTGATCCTCCACATGACACAACTTTCTTCCAAAACCTGAGATGACCTTGGGTATTGGCATAGAGAGAATTGGCCTCAGGCCCATTTACTACCAACATGAAATAAGTAAAAATGGAATGTGTCTACTGCAAACAGCTAAGTGAGGTAGAAATACAGCCAGCTAGTCAGGGCTGGGCCTTGGAGGGAGTCAAAACAAAAGGTTAAAAAGTTGCACTAGGGGTTGGGATTTAGCTCAGCGGCATAAGCGCCTGCCTTGCAAGCAGGCAGCCGTGAGTTTGATCCCTGGTACCGATAAAAACGAAAAAAATGAAAAAGACAAAAAAAAAAGTTGCACTAAAGCTGTGGCCAGCTGTGGCCAACTGTGGCTGGAGATGCATCAACTGGAAGCCAGGCCTCAATATAACAAAAGGACCTATGTACTTCCCAAGGGGTGAAGTTAGTGATAGCACCTGGCTAGATAGGCATCAGCCACTTGGTGGACAGTCAGGGCTCCAGATTCCTCACCTCCCCTAGAAGCTCTTTGATCTTTCGGTACCTACTGCCAGTGTGACCTGCTTCCCCACTGGATCCACGCTACCTAATAGCTATACTTAGCAATCTCACTGGCTAAGCATAGCTGTAACCCATGTTGTACCAACGTGGAGTTTGCTCTACAAAATTTCCCTATAGAGTGAGGTTCCTGGACTATCCATTCAGGACTCCCACCTGTTCCTCGGACAGGAGCTTTCTGACTCCCAAGTACTTCCTACTCTTAACCTCCATTGTTCCTAGAATTCTTGGATTTTTAGAGAACACTAACTCTGTGTATCAGACATCTAACACGTTGGGAGTTATAGTACTTTTCTTCTACCATACCCAGAGGTTCTGATCGCGACCCTGTGACATTGAGGAATGCATCAAAATTAGCTTAGATTTTAAGAGGTCGAAGAGGAACGTGACAGAGCTGGCATTCAGTGAAGTGTGTGCCAAGCACGATCACATTTCTTAATGATTCGTTCACCGGCACCAGGGAGACGTTTTCAGTTTAGTCTGTGATTTATGCAGCAATAAAATTTGGCTTTATATAAAACAGATTGACGTGACCTGACTGAATTCTTTTCTGCCATAGCAAAACCCATTAGCTATCTGATGCAGGCTGTAAACACCTCAGAATTATATGAAGGCATAAAATGAAACCTGGGAGAACAAAGAATGTGCGCTCCTTTGTGTATTAAATTACTCAAAGAATCTTGTAGTAAATCTCATATCCTTCAGAAGCTGTGTATGTTGAGTATTTAGATGTCTGCAAAAACATTAACACATATTAAAATACGTGAGGATTCACGGGAATGTCTCCAGCCTTAGAGAGATTGCTACCTACGTGCATTCTCGAAGGAAATGCTAATGTTCAGTTAGACATTAATGAAAATAGAAAGATGTAATTTCTGTACACATGCATCCTAAGGAAGTGGCTCACCCAGACTTGCTATTCATCGTGTTTTAATATTTCCTGCTCCGTCCTAGCAAGAATGGTGTTTTTAAAGCTGTGCTCCTCTGATTTAATATTCTATCTAGTAGAGAGGGAAAATCTAAGGAAGTTGGTTGTGCCTGTGACTTTTTAAGTATTTAAAGTCATTTTTCTTAATTTTCCATTCCCAATTTGCTTACTTTCTTGAAACTGTACTCATATGGATAGATGATGTGGATAGATAATAGATATAGAGGACAGAAGACAGACATAGATAGGTATGGATATAGATGTATATCTTCAATGAGTTTTTCATTTTGGGGAGCAATGAGTGACTAAGGGTGCAGCACACACCCCAGGAAGCCGTGTGCAGACGAGCAGAGTGGACACTGTAATCAGTGTGTGTCCGTGGATGCCCATTGTGGGTACACGCATGACCCAAGGGACATCCACAGCATAAAGAACACACCCTGGGACATCCACACCAGAAAGAGTCCACCCTAGGCCAATCGGAAGTCCATCCAGCTGGGAAGTTCACCCACAGGAACAGCAGAGCAGGAGGAGGGAGCCCACTGGGGGGCACAGAGGCCACCCCTGGAGAATTTGAGAGGGAGGGCAGAGTGCTGGCTAGTGATGCAGCTGACTGAACATTTTCCGTGTACTGGGCCATGCCCTCTGTGCCAGCTGTTGTGAAGCCACAGACTCAACTGAGCGCGAATGGAAAGTATTTGAGAGAAGAATCACCTCTGTACGCTCAGACTCACATTGTCATTCTTCTCTACACTACAGTGACAACTGTTTACACAGCATTTGCATTGTGTTGTATATAATCAAGAGAGTTTGAAGTACCCTAAGGGATGGATGCATTATATGTAAATACTGTGCCATTGTAGAAGGGACCTGAACACTTTCAGATTTGGGAATCCTCAGGGATCCTGGACCCAGTCTCCCACAGATACTAAGAGATAGGTGCGCAGAGATTTCCTGGAAAACCCCCAAATGCTTGGAAATTACTCAACACACTGTTAATCTCCAGGTCAAAGTTTCAAGGTAAATTTGAATATTAGAGTACAACAAAATCAATATGTTAAAGTTACAGGATGCAATGAAAACCATGCTCCTAGTGAAATTTACAGCATTAAATGCTATAAATATATGCTGTGCATTAAATGTGAGGTGTCCTCAAACCAACTTCTCCCTCTATGGAACAGATGTGGTTTAGAGAAGTTGGGGTCAAAGGTGCTTAAAGAAGGGCAAAGGGTGGGAAAAAGGAAGAAAGTGCTATTGTATGAACCTGGTCCCTCAAAAGTTCATGTGCTGACATTTAGTGGCCAATTTTGAGGTATTAAGAAGTGAGCTTTTAAGAGATATGAAGACTCTACCCTCAAAAAGAGGATAATGAAGGCCCTGGTGAAAGAGGTTAGAGGCCCTCATAACATCTGGTTAGGTTGGCTTCACCATGTAAAGACAGCATTTGTCTCCTCTGGAGAATGCAGTGTTCATGGTGCCATCTTGAAAGCAGGGAGCAGACTCTCACTGGGCACTGAACTCGGTAACTTGACCTTAGACTTCCAGCCCGTAGAATTATAAGGAACAAATTTCTGTTCTTTGTAAGTTGTCCACTCTTGGGTATTTTGTCAGAGCAACCCAAGTAGATCACAGAGGAAGCTG